ATTTACGTTTGGCCTCCTGAAAGACGTAAACTCATCTTTAGATCCTGGGAGTCGGCGCCAGGACTCATGGCGCCGAGGTAACACGTCTCGGCATCACAGATCTTGGCTCCGAGGTGCCTTACCGTGCACAGCAGAGCATCCTAGGTGGCGTTGACGTGGCCGGTACCTCGGCGCCAGAATACATGGCTCCGAGCGGCGCCACAGATCTTGGCGCCGACCTTGGAGCCGTCAGATGATGTGTTGCAACGGAGGTGATGAGACGTGCAAGCGGTAGCAGGCCCACACACCACACACCGCTCTCCTCTCCTCCCCTCTGACACGGACGGCAGGTGCCTGCCAGTCTGCCACCATGCGCACGCTCGGTGCATGCTGCTTTTGCCCCTGCAGGTGGAGAGCTGTAGCGTCAAATCATCTAGCCCCTACTCATCCCAAATTATCTCGTGCTTTAGGTTTTTGTGCCGCAAATTTAACAAAATACGTGCAATATTTGTATCTCCAAATAAATTTATTAAAAAAACTAGATTCAAAGATTTTTCCAACGATACCAATTATGTACCATAAATATTAATATTTTTTAATATATATTTTGTCAAAGTTATTTCTCGGGAAGCGAAAATGACAGATATTTTGAGACGGAGTGAGTACCTGTTCATGGATATTCATTCCACATCTAGCCCCCACTCATGTACGTATATGTATATTTATTTCTTTAGTAAGAGCAGGCTACATTTCATTGAACTATATTTTACTACTTCAGTTTAAGTGTAAGTTCTGTATTTAACTAGTGTAAATTTTTGATATTTTTGAATTTGTTCCAATTTGCTTGTTATAGAACTAATCTGGTTTTTTTTTCTATATTTTTTTTAATTTGTATGTTTTATTTGATATTTTTGAATTTCTTCCAATTTGCCATTAATAGAACTAATATGTTAAATTTGTATGTTTTATTTGTTTTCTATCTGGATTTCTTTCAATTTGCATTCCATAGAATTAAATCTGATATGTGATAATTTGTAGTTATATGTTCTCTTTAATTTGGTTCGTTAGATGCTGAGTGTGACTTGGTCTTAACACTCGAATTTTGCATGGTTCTTGAATAGAGTGTTTTAGAGGACTGTGTCACCAGGGTGTCAGGAGAGTCTAAAATACTCGAGTTGAGAGTAGACAGACCCTTCCAATAAAACTACAGCGTGGTCTTTTTTTAAAGCTCAACCAAACGTCAAATCAAATCATTTCAGATAATTAAATTAAAGTACGGTTGTTTGTTTCCTGGAGCTCGTGTGTGTCACGAAACAAGTTGCTTGAGATTGACGCGGTGCATCAACCATCTTATCTTATCTAAAAGAGAAGAACAAAGACCCAATTAATGATTGCCCGGGCCTAGATGTGGCCTGCGCATATGGCATGTTTGGTAGACGGCCTTGCCTATTCATTCATCCGACTAGATGTTGCTGAGGTTCCCAGAACCCAGCCGAGATAGATTATGAGAGTAGCAATGGAAACAGGCTAGCCCAGCTCATGTATAGGTTTAATTTTGTGGGCAACCTGTGATAACCCACGTAATTAAGCATAGTAATCCATCATCCCGTGCGCTCTCATGGGCTAGAATATTAAAGGACACTGATCAATAAAAATTACCTTTTTTCTCTTATAATAAATCTACCGAATTATTGATCTATATGTATTTTCTTTTCCATATCCATATTTTCATTCCTTTGCATAGTGCCTCCTTGCTCATCTCCGGCGCTTCCATATTAATATTTATGGTACATAATTGATATCATTGGAAAAATCTTTGAATCTAGTTTTTTAATAAATTTATTTTGAGATACAAATATTGCACGTATTTTGTTAAATTTGCGGCACGAAAATCTAAAGCGCGAGATAATTTGGGACGAGTAAGGGCTAAATGATTTGACGCTACAGCTCTCCATCTGCAGGGGCAAAAGCAGTATGCACCGAGCGCGCGCATGGTGACAGACTGGCAGGCACCTGCCGTCCGTGTCAGAGGGGAGGAGAGGAGAGCGGTTTGTGGTGTGTGGGCCTGCTACTGCTTGCACGTCTCATCACCTCCATCGCAGCACATCATCTGACGGCTCCAAGGTCAGGGCCAAGATCTGTGGCGCCGAGGTCGGAGCCATGTATTCTGGCGCTGAGGTACCGGCCACGTCAACGCCACCTAAGATACTCTGCTGTGCACGGCCAGGCACCTCGGAGCCAAGATCTGTGGCGCCGAGGCGTGTTATCTCAGCGCCATGAGTCCTGGCACCAATCCCAGAGTCCAAAGATGAGTATACGTCTCCCATGGGCCAAACGTAAATTTTCTTAAAAAAAAAGATCAAATTGTAAAAAATTGGGGACAAATCATTTCCCGTGGAGAAACGCAACGTATCCCTGGCAGCCTTCATTCATCCCTTGGCTAGTCACTCCATTTCAGTTGCAAGCAAAGCACGGAACGCCAACCGATCGACGGGAACAAGTGCTGGCCCAATCCTTTTCACCACCTCACTTGCAGAGCACCCCGCACCTCCTCTCAGTGTCAGTGGGATGTCGCCGTGCAACCAACCGGTTGACCGCTCATCAGCCGGCCAATGGCCCGTGAGGCCGTGACCGTGACCGAGCGAGAACGAAGTGCTCGCTGAAAACCCACTGCAAAACGCCGCTAGTGGTTCGGTGCCGAGCTCATCTCACGCGCCTGCCCCACGGCACCCGGCAGCCGGGCGACGCGGACGTGTCTCTGCCTGCGCTAGTGACAACAAGTGCGTCCTGTTCCTGTCCTGGTATTCCATTCCTATCCGTCGTCGGAGTCGGAGACGTTGCTACGCACTCCCCAACCGCTGCAATTCTAGCACTAGCTGATGACAAGTGCAGAGGAGCTGCCGCTTGCGCTTTAAGGATCTTGTACGTTAGTGTCCAAATCCAAGTATGCAATAAGATACTGCACGAATGAATCTTACTGTTCATCCGGTCAGTCCTTCCAAAAAAACGCAATGTGATTGTGAAGTCATGTCTCACAGTTGCTTCAAAAATTAATTGCTTCAAAAAAAAAAAGTCATGTCTCACAGATTGGTGCACTGGATGATGGCTTTGATTCAGCACCAAAAGTGACGACCTTTTTCTTTCACTTGAGTTGAGTAAGATTCACACATGTGCTGCCGATCGACCTAACTCGTGGAGAGCATGCCCGATATCGTGCTCCGCATTTCTCCTGTGTCCGGACGACGATTTCACGAGTTTCTCCTGTGACCAGACTGGTGGCATGGACGGGGCAGTGATTTTTTTGGTCTTATAAACCTCAAAAGCTGACGGCGCCATTTTACTGACCTGTCTTCGTCACCCCAACGTCCACAAGGTGCAGTGCCACATCGATCGCTTTGCAGAAAAAGTTAGTCAGTAACCTATCTGGATAGGTAACTCAGACTGTCGGCCACAAGAAATGCAAAATATTTTTTCCTGAGAAGAAAACATGCACACTACATATATATCAAGTCGATGTTACTAACATTTTCTAGAGAAAAAAATGAAATTGATAACAAATTCTACTCGTCGCGTGCAAACTGGTTATCCTGATCCGCCAGCAGAGCAGGCGAGCAGCCATGTCACGATGTACTACGTAGTACCCAGGCCAGGACTAAACAGCCCAGCTTCCAGTCCTTCTGACAGCATGCCTGAACCACTAGGCTTCCGCGTCTTCCCTGACTCCTCCGTCCGCTTCCCGCCAAGCGAAAGCGCCACCCGCGCTGCCCCCCTTGACGCCTTCCTCATCAACAGGCTCCACTCCTGCAACTGCAACCCCTCCAAGGCACGGAACACCGACCAAACTGCCAGTACCGCTTGCACCTTAGCAGCCAAGCTGCCTACTGAGCGAGTGAGGTTTCCACTCGCCAGTCGCCAGTTCAGTTCTTGCTTCCTTCTCCGGTCGTGGTACCTTGACTGAGAAGCTAGCTATGCATCCCTGCGGTGGCTGACGAATTGCATAGCCTGATCAACCAGGTACTGGACTCTTATCGCTTAATTTGGTTCTGTTGCTTTTCAACGCAAAAATGTCGTGCACTGCGTTGCTCTTTCTGTTTCGAGTTGTTCGAATGCTGAGTTTCAGTTTTGCAACTAGATTACTACATCATGTGTTCGTCAAATTCAGTTGATACACTTTATCAGGTTTCCAGTTTGTTTCTTCATCGTTACATTTTCGTTACTTCAGTCTTTAGCTAATGTAATCTTACAGTTTTGTGGTGAACTCAAACAAATAGGCAGTTGTTAGAACATCAGCAGTTTCATCGGTCTTAAATTGGACAGTCAATATCAAATTATGGACCATGGGTTTAGATGATCATCGTACTTTTGAATATAAACGATAGACAGGGTTCAGTACGACCCAACAGTACAAAAGCATACTTTCTCTAGTTCTGTTACAACTTTGGTTTGGTGATCATAATTTGAGAGGAACTAATGTTCAACGCTCCTGACGACAAAGAGTTCAGTTAACAGCAAGTTTTTTTTTCTTCGGAATGAGACACGTCAACTAGTAGCGGTTGCTTCAGAGCACACACATTTCTATTTCTCCTTTACAAAAAGCTTTGGTGGATGGAATGAAGAACTGTTCAGTTCTAGGGGCCCTGTTCGGCTGGTACGTTTTTCGGCTGGTTCAATAATGTTTTGTGAGGGGGAATAAACTGAAATAAGCTGAAACCGGCTGAAAAGTAGTTCTAAGCGTTATCTTTAGCAGCTGGTTGGCAAAACGTGAGAACCAAACTAGTGCAGTTGTTGGGGGTTCATACATAAGCAAAGAGCATCATGCAAACCTAATTGGCTTGGCCAACAACACATAGTTCTGACAGAAGTTGCTAACGTAAATTTTTTGTTTACTTCCCACAGATTCTTGGTTTCTGAAGAAACTTTTAGCTGAATATCCTTGTTGCTCAGGTTGAGCTAACAATGCTTACTACTACTCAGTGATTATTTTCAAGGGATAATCTGGAGAAGCAAGCATCAAGGTAACAATGGCTGAAATAGGAGAAGCTCTGAGATCCTGCATGGAGCGGCTGGTCATTGCAAGGGAAGAGCGGGAGCAGATCATCGTGGAGGCGGCCAACGAGATATCCTCCGAGAAGAAGAAAGTGCGCGAGCTCCAGCAGAAGCTGGAGGACGCGAACACGAAGGTCGCGAAGCTCGCTGCTGAGAACAACCACCTCTCCAAGGCCGCTGACTCCAAGGACGCGCTGATCGGGGAGCTGAGGGAGTCCGCGGCGGCCACTGGGGGCAAGCTCGCCGACGCGACGGCGAGGCTAGAGTCGGCGAAGAAGCAAGCCGGGTCGTTGCAGTACGAGGTGCGCATGCTCCAGAAGGAGCTGGAGGTCCGGGGCCAGGAGCGGGAGTACGACCTCAAGTCCGTCGACGCCGCGCGCCGGCAGCAGGCGGAGCACCTGAAGCGGATTGCGGAGCTGGAGGCCGAGTGCCAGCGGCTGCGCGCCATGGTCCGCAAGCGCCTCCCCGGGCCGGCGGCGATCGCCAAGATGAGGGACGAGGTCGATCAGCAGCCGACGCAGACCCCCACATCAGGCAGCCCGAGGCGGCTGCGTCCCGCTACGCTCTCCTCGCCGCGGTCGGTCGTCGCGCCGTTCTCGCCGCGGATCACGTCGCCGTTCTCGCCGCGGACCACGTCGCCGCGGCGCTCCATCTCGGACGCCGACGGCTACGCGTTCAAGCTCCGCGCCGTAGAGGACGAGAACAGGGCGCTGAAGCAGGCGTTCGCCAAGAGGGAGAGCGAGCTGCAGTTCGTGCAGATGAAGTACGCCGACGAGGCCTGCAAGCTGACGGTGGCTCAGAGGCAACTCAAGGAGCTGTCGGAGGAGAACAGGCAGCTGAGTGACGCCAACAGTCAGTCTGAATCCTGGGCTTCTGCTCTGATTTCTGAATTGGACAAGTTCAGGTCAGGCAACCAGAACGGTGCGTCCATCATGGCATCATCTTCATCTGAGATGATCTTGCTCGATGATTTCGCTGAGATTGAGAAGCTGGAGATGGCGTCAGGTGATCAAAAGCGCAATGCGCAACGTGCATCTCCGAAGAAGGCGGATACAGGACTGGTAATGCAAGAACAGAATGGCAATGGTCCTGTCCTGGATGGTAGAATGTCCAACGGCCATCCTGAAAAGGTTAAGAATATCTGGGAACTAGTTGTGCACAAGCATGAAGCAAGTGGGGAAAGTGTTGAAACTATTATTGAACAGATAAGTCAAGCATTGGATCAGACAGCTATTTCTGCCAAGACAGATGATTCAGATGTACTGAATGACCGGTCTGAAATAGAGAAGGCGGTGAGAAACATGGTTGAGGAAATCACTTCCATGATCCGCACATATGCAGAAGACAACGTTGCAAGATCAAGAGTTCTCTTGAACAACAAGTCTGAACTATTTCGATGCTTTGAGCACCTGGTTCAGGTCTGTCATGACTTACTAGAAGGGAAATGTAACCTTGGAAAGTTCATAGATGAGGTTTGCCTCATCCTAAAGTATATAGTGAGCCAATACTTCTCAGATCAAGATCAGACTGACAGTTTGAACACTAATGCAGAGAATTTTGATGGAGTTAAGCCATCGAGTACAGTTACCGCAAATGGTACACATAACACTGAAAGTGCTAAACCAGCAGCAACTTCAGCTATTCAGACAGAGGCAGGGGAAGTACCAGTTCAGTCAGTTGAAAGCCAGATTATGGTCAATCATCTACAGAAGCCTGATACAGAACCGATACATGTTATACAAGCCCAGGATGATAGTATCCTTCCAGGAAGAAAATCGGCATTCTGTGAGATACAAAGGTAATTAATATGTCGCTACGTTGACTACTCATGTTTTTTTTTTAAAAAAAATGCTATTTCCAACACTTTAAAAATTTAACGTACATTCTTCATCATGCAGCCCTGCTGCTGAAATGCTATTTCCAACACTTTAAAAATTTAACGTACATTCTTCATCATGCAGCTCTGCTGCTGAGGCAGGTGTGGAACATAGGGCAGCTCAAGAGGAAAGTCATTTAGCAACAGTAAGTTATGGTGTCCTTGCTATACATTCTTACAGGAAAATAGTATAGTAGTAGTAACAATATTCAGTATATCATCATCAGGAACTGAACTCACAACATCAGCATTCACTGCAGAACTCAGAGATCCTCGCAGCAGCTGACAAGCTCGCCGAGTGCCAGGAGACGATCACGATTCTGAGCAAGCAGCTGCAAGCTCTAAAGATGCCAAAAACTTCAGGTCCTCTAGACAGCTCCATCTGCAACACCAGGCCGAGCTCCGCGGCGTCCGACTACAATCCGCAGTCGCTCGCGAGCATCCTCGCCGAGGAGTTCGCCGGCGCCGAGGTCTCCATGTCTCCCACCACACCCAAGCAACAAGCGCTGCCCAAGAAAGACGAAGGTGAGGTCTGTGCCACGCCGAGGAGGAGCGCAGCGCAGCAACAGCAGGAGGACAACACCGGCGCTGACGACAAGGATTCGATGCAGATCGTCGTCCATCCTGTGTTCGCCGCCGCGCCGCCGCGGCAGGAGGATGTTTCCGCTGACCCGAAGAGGAAGAAGAAGCGCAGTACGAGCCTGCTGGGCAGGATCATGTTCAGGAAGAGAGTGGAAGGCGGCTCCTAGACCGACTGCGCTGAACTGCATCGACATGGTGGATGCATTCTGCAACCTGCAGCCTGCAGCTGCAGCTGCAGGTGTGACATGGATCCGGCCAGTGTGCTGCTGCTACGTTATGATCAGTGATTTCTTAGCGTGTTCTGTTTATGCGTTTGCTGCTCCCAGTGAGCGATCTTTTTGGCCGTACATTACTACATTCTGTTCCAGAGCCTTGTGGCTGATGGCAACTGGTTCTGGCACATGGTGTGTGCTACGTATCTGCATTTTGTTCTTGACGTACATGGACACAATTTTCTGTGTGTATCTATGAACATCACGGTTGTGGAAATGTTAATTTATTGAAGGAGAATAGGTTCTTTTATCCTTACAGTACTAGAACAGCATTATGTTCTCTGAGCTGTTCTTGCACTTGCTTATACTGCTGGACTAGTGAACTATTTATGGCGAGGGGACTTGATCATCAGGCGGTGGAAACTCAAAAAGACTACGGACAAAATCAGTGCAGCAAATTTCTCCTTCTAACTACAAGTGAAATTTAACGGTGTTCGGAAAAAAGAAGAGCCATTCATTTAGATAGATCTTATGGTTATAAAATAGAAAGAATCAATATAGAGAAACTTAGGTTATGAACCTGAACCAAAAATACGTGGACGGTTTCTAGTTAAATTTCTGAAGGGTATAATAGTATTTTTACGCCTCAGGAACCTCCTTCTCGAGGCGCCGGCGGAGCGGCAGCCCCCTTGCGGGCGCACTCGCCATGGGCGGGCTCTGGCGTGGTAGCTCCCTGGCAAGCGCGGACTCCGATGGACAGGACCTGCAGCTCTCAAACTCTCCTAGCGCCGGCGGCGCGGCGCCGCCCTGGCGGGCAACTCTCCGTGCGCGGGCTCTGGCTCAGGTGCTCCCCGTCGCTGGATCTGTACACCGCAAGAGACGCATAGACAGGTAAACTGATTCATGGCCATTCATATGCGAGCTGCCTAGTGCCCAGGTACCTTTGAGTATTAGTGGACTCATGTTCTGCTCTTGTATCATGTGCTTTTGAAATCAATATCAATTATATCTCAATTAGTAAAGCCAGAAGCCTAAACTGTTACATTTTCCTTCAGTTGTTTCAGTGACGTGAGATTAAGAAGAAAGGAAGTATGAAGCCCAGTGAATGGATTCGATGCAGAGGAGACGTTTGACGAGTTGATGGCTTCTCGGCATGGAATATTGTGGCATTTTCAGGCTGTGGATACATGGTCAGCTTTCTTTTGTATAGATGGGTTTGTGAAGAGGAAGGCATTAAAATAAGAGATGACGATCATACATGCTGTAGAAAAATTTCCTAGCTTATAATTGTTGTATCATTACGACTACCAGTATGAGTGCAAATGTAACTAAACGTTCATTGAGTTGGATGTTTAAATTTCTTTTCTTGAAGCCAAGAACTGAGCACTCTATTAAAGAATTTGCTCGACTATATGATCCAATAGTTCAGAACCACTCAGTAGTAAACAAGACAACAGGAGATTTTGTGCAAAATTAATCCATAATTATGCGCAAGTGTCACACCAGGTTTATAATTCAACAGAGAATCTGGTTCAAATTGCAACACACTACTCAGTATAGTGAAACAGCAGGCGACAAGCAGACAGATCACAGTTCTTGGCATCAAGCACTTCCTCTTGAGTCCATAAACATAAGTATAAAAACGATTTCAGGTTTGTGCATTGCCTTTTAGATGACATACTACCAGGATGGCAAAGCTTTTGTTAACTGTACTTTTAACCATACTCAGCTTGGGTCTCCCCTTGCTCCCTCGATAGTTTGGACCAGTTGCAGCAGCTACTGCAACCGCAGCAGATCTCAATTCCATAAAAAAGATATCTGAGTTTTATCCAAAAAAGAACTTCTGCAATAATAGATGGACATGTTATGGATCACACACATGAAGCTTAGATATGAGAAGAATAAGGCAAAAGTCACCTATGAGGAAGGTATGACTGTAGGAACACTAGGATTATAGATCTAGCCATAGACTGATTCTATTCGGGATAAAATAGACGTTGTATATCCCAGTGCTTGTAAAACTAAAGAGACAGAGAGGGAAGGGGAAAAGTACCGAACCTGACACGGCAGAGGGGGAGGGTTCGGAGGCCGCCATCGGGTTCGTTGATGTAGTCTGCGCACAGGCAGCGACAGTCGGGGAAGACGGGTCGAAGATGCAGTGCCGGCGGTGAAGATCGACGGCGCCGCAGTGCAGCGGTGGAGGTACTTCACGTCACTGGCTGCGCTCCTCACTTAGATCTGGTTTAGGGTTTGTCGGTGGGGAGGTCGGCTCAGGTCAACCTCGTGATAAGAGCCGCCAGCCCCCACCTCTTTTTATAGCGTAGGGTGACAGGGGCCCTCCAGCCATGGTGGGCTGGGCGCCCCCGATCAGGGCGCGAATCAAAGGCCCAACTGGGCCGTTGGGTCCAGTTAGGTTAGAGATCAATCTAACAATCTCCCCCTTGATCTCTTTCCACCTTTCACTTTCATATCATTTACTTTTGTTCATTCTATTACAGATTAGCGCATAGAGCATGTCTCATCGTCACGGTCCATTGCCGATAGATTTAACAGCTGCAACACACTACTCTGTTCTGAAATAGATACTTATCTTTGGGCCTTCTTTTGTCCAGGAATTATAGGCTTTCCCTTAAACCCATGCCGGCTACATATTCTCTGAACACGTTGGGTGGTAAGCCTTTTATAAGCGGATCCGCGAGCATTCTTTCTGTTCTTATATGCTCAAGACTTATGACTTGATCCCGGACTTTATCTTTCACAACATAATATTTTATGTCAATGTGTTTGCAGCACCACTCGACTTATTGTTGTGAGCATACTGTACTTCCGGATTATTATCGCAGTATAACTTAAGTGGTCTATAGATGTCGTCAACCACCTTCAAACCGGGTATGAACTTCTTTAGCCAGTTCACCTGCCCCGTTGCCTCATAACACGCTACAAACTCGGCATACATTGTGGACGATGTAGTGACGGTTTGTTTTGAGCTTTTCCATGAAATAGCTCCCCCTGCGAGAGTGAATACATATCCAGACGTGGATTTTCTATCATCTCCCGCATAATCAGAATCTGAATACCCCACTATATGGAGTGAATCAGATCTTCTATACGTCGTCATGAGGCCTTTCGTTCCTTGCAAACAACACAAGACTTTCTTTACCAATTTCCAGTGTTCTATTCCAGGATTGCTCTGGAATCTGCCAAGTAACCCGGTAACAAATGCCAAGTCAGGGCGCGTACATACTTGAGCACATTGCAAGCTTCCGACAGCTGAAGCATATGGAACCGCTTTCATTTGATCGATCTCATATTGGTTTCTAGGGCATTGAAAATCCACATATCTATCGCCCTTGACTATAGGAGCAGGTGAGGTACTACATTTATGCATACTGAATTTCTTTAAGATTTTCTCTATGTATGCTTTTTGTGACAGTCCTAATACCCCTTTACTTCTATCTCGGTGAATCTCGATCTCTAGAACGAACGAAGCTTCACCAAGATCTTTCATATCAAATTTTGAGGACAAAAACTTCTTTGTCTCCAGTAGTAGACTAACATCACTACTAGCAAGCAAGATATCATCCACATACAGGACAAGGAAGATGAACTTCCCATTCTTAAACTTTGTATAGACACAATTGTCCTCTACATTCTCTTTAAACCCAAAATTTCTTATTGTCTGATCAAACTTCAAGTACCATTATCTTGAAGCTTGTTTTAATCCATAAATAGATTTCTTTAGGCGGCATCCCATTCGTTCTTTTCCTTTCACGACAAAACCTTTCGGTTGTGCTATGTAAACATTTTCCTCCAAGTCCCCGTTGAGAAATGTCGTCTTTACATCCATCTGATATAATTCTAAATCGTAATGTGCCACTAATGCCATTATGATTCTGAAGGAATCCTTACATGAGACTAGAGAAAAGGTCTCATTGTAATCAATCTCTTCTCTTTGCGTAAAGCCTTTTGCCACAAGTCGGGCTTTATATCTCGCTATATTTCCTTGAGAGTCAAGTTTTGTTTTATAGACCCATTTACAACCAACTGTTTTGGCTCCTTTAGGAATTATTTCTAAATCCCAAACTTTATTGGCATTCATAGATTTCATTTCATCTTCCATGGCCTCAAGCCACTTTGATGAATGATCACTTCTCATGGCTTCTTCAAATGAGGTGGGATCATCCTCCATTTGAAATTCCTCAATGTTGTACACTTTATAATCAGCAGGAATAGCTAATTTTCTAACTTTTTGAGACCTTCTAGGGGCCTCCACATTTGGCACATCTTCTGTTTGAGGCTGTTGTTGCTCCCCCTTATGTGTGACAATTGGTTCTATAGGATCCTGAAGAATAGGTTACTCATCGTCATTCATTGTTGCCACAGGCGGAATAACAACAGGCGCTGGCACCACAGTATCTTGTACTGTCGGTGCAGCGACAGCAGGTAGTGAGAAAAATGGCTCATGAATCATCGAAGTGGGCGCATACACCCGCTTCTCTTCAAGGTCAATTTCTCGATCTACCATGCTCCCCTTCATCATTTCATCCTCTAGGAAGACAGCATGTCTCGTTTTCATAAACTTTGTATGTCTATCTGGACAGTAGAAACGAAAACCTTTTGACTTTTCTGGGTAACCAATAAAATGGCAACTCACTGTTTTGGGATCTAGCTTCCCAATGTTTGGGTTAAATACTTTAGCCTCAGTAGGACCCCCCCACATGTAAGTGGTTTAGTGAGGGTACTCTTCTTGTCCACAACTCATACGGTGTTTTGGGCACCGACTTACTTGGTACTCTATTGAGAATATGAATGGCGGTTTTTAACGCCTCCATCCACAGGCTCATCGGTAAGGTGAAGTAACTTATCATACTATGCACCATATCCATCAGGGTACGATTGCACCTTTCAGCTACTCCATTCTGCTGAGGTTCTCCCGGTGTAGAATACTGGGCTACTATACCATTCTCCTGTAAGAACCTTGCAAAAGGTCCAGAAACTTGGCCATATGGGGTATGCCGATCGTAGTACTCCCCCCACGGTCGGACCTGACTATCTTAATCTTTAAATTGTGTTGATAACAAATAAAGCTCATTTTGTAAGATAGCAAGACCAACACATGCATCATTAAATGTTATCTTACATTTGCCATTTTCAAAATGGCAATCATATCCATCATTGTCCAAACATGAAACACTTATTAAGTTTCTCTGTAACGAGGGAACATAAAGAACATCTCTAAGTATAAGTTTGAAACCATCAGCAAGCTCTAGAGAAAGATCGCCAACGGCTTCAACTTCTGCTCGGACTCCATTTGCGACTTTAACGTGTCTTTCACTTCTTTCCGTAGTTTTCGTCGAACGGAATCCCTATAAAGAATTAGCAACATGAACAGTTGCACCTGAGTCAATCCACCAAGTAGATTTCGAATACTGTACATACAGGGATTCATTTATGAACGTAATAATGTTCTCACCTTTCTTTGCTATGATCATCTTTAAGTAATCGAGACAATTTTTCTTATAATGTCCCGTCTTCTTGCAATAGAGACATTGGTCTTTCTCTACTGTGAACTGGTTCTGTTGAGGCTTATGCAGCATGGGGCCCTTTCCCTTTGACTTTGAGGAGAAATTGGCATTATTATTCTGTTTTTTGTTGTCTTTCAAATAATTGATAGAGCCACCATTGACAGCTTTCATCCTCTCCTCTTCTTGCACACACACAGCCATGACCCTCTCCATGTCCCATTTCTTGGGCTGTATGTTGTAGTTGACAACAAAAGTGTCAAACTCTTTTGGCAAGGAAGCAAAAATCAGATGGATAAGGAACTCATCCTTGAGAGCCAGATCCATTGGTTTTAGCTTGGATGCCAAATTGCTCATCCTTAGTATGTGTTCTCTAATGCCACCATTACCTGAGTACCTCTCTGTTACCAGCTGCTTTATCAGCTGGGTAGCATATGTCTTTGAAGAGCCAGTGAACTGACTCTTTATTCTTTCGAGATACTCGGTGACGGTGTCACACTCTGGGATTGAGCCCACAATTGCAAGCTCAATCATGTTCTTTATCATAGCCAAACACTTCTTGTTGGCAATGACCCACTTTCTATGCTCAAGGTCATAGGACATCTTTAGGGATGCAAAATCTCTCTCTCTGATTGCCCAAGCGGCATCAGTCTCGTTTGTCTCCCTCACCGGTGCCACAGGCTCTGTGGGACACGGTGTGGTGACTACCCAGTCCACCTCAGCCAAGATGAAGGCTAGGTCGATCTTTTTCTTCCACTCAATGTAGTTATCACCTTTGAGAGTGGTGATTTCTTTGATACAACTCATCAAGTTGTATCTGCCTGAAAACACAATTCAAATAGAGTGAGAATATAAATGTAATAATAACAATTGCATGCCTTAGTTTCAACATTGATCAAAATTAAAACATATAATTGTCTTCTACACTAATTCTACATCACCGTTGGGCAGAAATAGAATTAATGCAAGACAAAACATCATAATATTGTCATTAATCAACGTTGGTCAGAATAATAACAATATTATAATCAATTAAAACATATCTATTTTTTTCAAAATTAAATTCTCCCGTTGGTTCGAATTTAATAATGAAAATAGCATCTTTA